CAAGACCCTCACCCTTTAGGGAAAAAAAACCCCAGGGGTGTTTAAGCTTTAAGACCTGTGGACTTCAACTCCCAGAATTCCTTCTCCAGTCATCTTGGCTCTGGCATTGAAGTGTGCAAGTCTTAAAGCAGTCAAGTTACAAAACCCTTGCACCCTTAACCCTTTAGAAAAAATACCCCAGGGGTGTTCAAACTAGATAGCTTTAAGACTTGTGGACTTCAACTCCCAGAATTCCTCCTCTCGCTCTTCATCTTGGAGCTGGATCCAGTTCTAAGCAGCACTGTAGATTTGTGGAAACTCTTCTATAGAAGAGGTTAGAACTGGCAGGAACCCACCCCTGATCAGGCTGTAATACTTATCACACTTTCTTTTCATTTTTTTTTTCTTTATAATTTCTTAAGTCATACAACTCTCTTACTTTAAATCAGAATCTTGGCCATAGTTTTCATTTTTCTGTCTTTAATAATGCATGTTTCCCTGTGTATACATTTCCATAGATTGCCTGATAAATTTTGCTCTTATTAAATAATAAATTCATAATTTCTATTATATAGTATAACCGTTCATATGACTCTGCAATCCCTATATACTTTATAGTTGTAAACTATAACAGTTTGAAAGGATACACATTTACCCCAAATCAATAATCCTTCCAGTACAAGTCTAGAAAAATGAGCCATCTCAAATATCAGTTTTCTGACTTGATCAAGTGTTACATTTGCGTGCTCAGTCCAGCACAAGAAAACTGTTTTGCTTAGCAACATATATGTCAATTGTGGTCAAAGTCAATGACTACCTGTACAACTAGGAATATGGAAGAGTTATTCATTGCTTATCCTTTGTTGGACTGAAAATGGACATGTAATCACCAAACATTTCTACTCTTAGTTGTGCTGTTGTATAGTAAAATTACAAATAGGATTTGCAGGCACACATATCATGTAGAACAAGTGATGTGGGAATATGATTCCACTCTCCAATACTTTTAACAATTTATGGTTGCAATAAAATTGGAGCAACTCATTCAAGCTATAGAGTGACTACCTATAGAGTCCCTTTGGTGGGCCTTTATATGTGTTAACAGAGGAGTCTCTTCCTTTTTTTTCTTCTTGTCCTTTGATCTAGTCCTGAGAAATTATAGCTTTTCAAAAATTATAAGAAGAAATGATGAGGGAAACTGTTGTTGAGGCATTGTGCTTTCTTCTCTTTGGTGAGAAAAATTAAACATCATTGAATATTGAATGCCTTAATGATTTCCTTAATGTGCTTCTTTTGTTTCTTCTATCCAACAGCATTTTTTGGAGCTCATATGAATGCTTTCATTCACGTTGTCATGTACATGTACTATGGACTAGCTGCCTGTGGCCCAAAAATCCAAAAGTACCTTTGGTGGAAACGATACTTGACCATAATGCAATTAGTAAGTAATATTTGGGGTTTTTTAAAAAAAAAATCAGTTATTTTTAATTTTGGGTCTTTTCAGTGTGAGAACTTTGAAAGTAATAACATAGACACCACCTTTAGAGACTATCTTTTCCAACATGAGGAAACTCATATAGATAAAGGAAGAAGAAACTCCCTACCACCCACTCTTGCTATCAGCACATAGAGAACTACAAGAATGGCAACAAGATGTTGGCTGGCGGCTCCCCGGAGGAGGGCCTTCTCTGTGGCTGCTCCGACCCTGTGGAATGANAAATAAATAAATAAATAAATGAAAATAAGAATATTAATCATATTTCTGCACTTGTAGTATAAGATGGCTAGGCCTGATGAAGTTATGTGCATATCTGATTTTATCTTAATTTCCAAGTCATGAAAGATGCTTGTTCCAAATAAGACTTCAAATGGCTAAATTCAGGAAAATGTGGGAGATTTTTTTAAAATACTTTTTGGGGAGAATAATATACAAAATGGTTTCACATCTTGTCTTGGCATTACAAAATAATATTTAACTCTTTATTTAAATACCTACTAACTGAGACAAACAGTCAACGAAAAGAGATAAATACTGTGCAAATTGTGCAGGAACTTCTTAACCCAGAAGAACAAATTGAGTAATTAAAGATTCCATGGGACGCACATCCTATCCTACATGGTGCATTAATCTGATCTTGTCTTTCGTGATTCATTGGTCTGATCTTGTCTTTATATTCTTCTTTCGTTTCACAGATAGCAGGAGCTTTATGGTGGTACTACATATCAAAAGGAATTGAGTATCTGGACACAATATTCTTCATCCTAAGAAAGAAATTTAACCAAATCAGTTTTCTTCATGTCTATCACCATTTCACTATGTTTACTTTATGGTGGGTTGGCATCAAATGGGTTGCAGGAGGACAAGGTGAGTAAACTTGTCTACTAAGTGGAAAGTGAATATTGAAAAGATAATGAATATTCATATAGAGTATTAGCATGTACATATTTTCTATACTACAGTTATAAAAATAAGTTGAATTAATTCTGTGGTGCTAACAGTTTAAAGGTATATTCTTCCTTGTCTGGGAAATGAGGGGGAGGAAAAATATATTACTATAATCTTGTGAAACACTTTTCACACTGGCAAAGTGCATGATTCAGATTTTAAATCCATATTCTTCCCCTTGTGTTTAGGTCTATGAACTGCATGAAGCAACAGATAAATCTAACTTGCCTAACTAAAATTCTGCAACCACAGGCAGATAAATTTTTTGATTGTGCCTTGTTTAATTAACATGGTGATGAAAGAATCTAGTCGACCAAGTCATAATAAATTCAATAACTTCCATTTATGCTTGGAACACCTGTATTTATTTTATTTTTATGTACTGTAAAAACTAGATTTAACTGCTTCATTTTACTCTGTGAATAAAAATTGTACATAAAGATTATATCAGGCTCAGTGGTGGGTTTCAAAAATTTTTAGAACCTCTTCTGTATGTGTGGCCTGCTTTGTGGGAATGGCTTGCCAGCCATGTGACTGGGTGGTCATGGCCAACTTGTAAAATGTGGTGACAATCACTTAACACCGCTCTTGCTTAGCAACCAAAATGTTGTCTCAGAAACTCTGGCATTTGAAGCACGCAAGTTTTAAAGCTGTCAGGTTACAAGACCTTCACCCTTTATGGAAAAAAAAAACCAGGGGTGTTTAAGCTTTAAGACCTGTGGACTTCAACTCCCAGAATTCCTTCTCCAGTCATCTTGGCTCTGGCATTGAAGTGTGCAAGTCTTAAAGCAGTCAAGTTACAAAACCCTTGCACCCTTAACCCTTTAGAAAAAATACCCCAGGGGTGTTCAAAC